GGATAATTATACAGGAAATGCTAGAAAAACGACATAATTATTTCTAAACAATTGTCAGCTTGTTTGGTTACATCTATCAACGTTAAAGTTAGCGGAAAAACAGCAATAAAATGAAAATAATCGAGATGTTTACAAAGGGGTTAACAAAATTGTTATCACGGATATGGTTGCCGATTTTATTCATGAGAGAAAGTTCGAGCTAACTTTGGTGTCAGATTGGGTGAGTTTAACTTGAAAATCCATTTATTTTTGTCAGCATTTAATTTTACATAAAGTCAGAAGTTGTGGTAATCAGGAAGTAATAGATCAAACTGGATGTGCGAGTGTTCAATGAGGGGTTCAAAACACCGAATAACACATGGGATGCACTTTTGCCCCAGCTTAACACTATCACCCGCCTCACCGTCTGTGAGACCGATTTACAGCCGGGATGCTCCGGAGGATATCGTACGATCCCGATCATAGTGTGAGCCTCTTAAATACTCTGAAATGCAGGTCTTATGGGATCCAATGTTAAGCTCGAAAAACGAGAAAATATACTAGCATATTTCGCGAGCAAGCACGAAGCAGGGAGGCCAGAAGAATTAGAACGAAAAAAATTCTACTAAAATCTAAACCTATTGTTAGGAAAACCGTGAAGACGAGCCACAGTAGATCTTCTGTTGGAGGGGTAAAAAATTCCTCCTTAACTGGGAAGATCTATCGCGCTAAAAAGGCCAAATTGAAAAAGGGGCTCTGAAGGCCATTTAGGAATGATCAGACCTGAACAGGCCATAAGAACTCGAACCTCACGTGAGGAACGATCCAGTTGTTCCCTCCTCTATAATCCTGAACTAAGGCATCTTCGCTGCTGCAGCTAAAAAGGGCCGCAATCCTAGAATTAAACCCAGAAACCTGGGAAAAGAAGTCAAAAGGCTAGCATCGTGGAATCGGAAGACCAATTACCTCACCAATCAGCAGACGTTTAATATGGGGAAGGAGGGGGACTGGGAGAAAGGAAAGCAGGCGTTCCATCATTCTCGTCCCCATAGCCCGTTTCGCGTTTCACTGGTTTTGGACCCACCGGGAAAGGTGTTGATCTCAAATAATATAGAAACTTTTGTAGGTGCTGGCAGTGATAACGGCGTCGCTTGATTTGGATAGGTAAAGAATTGTTTACATTGTATGTACAGTTGTGCAGATACTTCAAGTATTTAAACGACAAATTTGGTATTTAAGTCCATCTTAGTGATCACCTTAACAGTTATTACAGCACGTATCAGTAAGTACGAAGATACTGAGGCGCTATACTCTTCGAGTAGTGACGTCAGCGTTCATTGGTCACGGCACAGTACTCAGCGACAAGGAAAGACTGTTAATTCAGTTTCCTCAAAGTATCAACAAAGAAAACCAGCGAAAATATTTTTCAACACAAGATTTAGTGGTACTTTTTCGAAATTATTTCACAAAAGTCTCGTCACAGCACGCAGGCAGTGAATTCAACAGTACTAACTTGATTCAGTGTGGAAGAGTTGACTTTAAAACAATTCTTAAGAAGGAAAAGTGAGTACCGTGTTTGCAGAGCTCAAAATTAAGCTCTTCCCAGCGAGAAAGGTGTAGAAAGATCGATTGCCAGATACAGCTCACTTCAACATGTCTTAAATGTGAGCTTTTGGATAAAAGTAGCCAGATTTTAAGGTTTTAAAGTGAGTACTGTTGCTGAGTACTGTTAAGTTATGCAAATAAAAAGTGATCAACTCTTTGTGCATAACATTAAAAAATGTCACACTATACTATTTCGTAAACAAATAAAGGGAAATGACTTCCAATGGCTGGAAACAACTTTGTAATATTTGATTGGCACCCTTTGGACGAAATTATACAGTTTGCGATGCCCGTTCGCTGCATGTATCACATATTCATGCTACAGATGACTTCGAGATTTGAAATTTCTGCGCGATTTCCCGGAGTGAAAACCTTCTGTTTTCGTAAAAAAAAACAAGACTTTTGCTCGCTGTTCGACAGAAATTCTTGTATGCACCATGATCTATAATACCTGTTGCTGCGTTAACCATGCTTTTCCTTTCAAATACTGCACGCACGAGTCTGAGATAAAATAAATTCCGATTTACACCGCGCGTGGGGAAAAATTGAAAAGGATAAAAAAAAACCTTAATAAACGCACAAAATATTACTTTCAAAAATAGTAATTGTATTACGATATATTCACAGAGTTGAGAGAAAACACATTTAGAATGTGAAAAGCCACTGAAAAGTGACATTTTATTTCTCAACTGAAATTCAGACGCCAGACGCGAATACAACTTCACCTGCCTAACCTCGCCCCCCACCCCCATACAATGTTGAAAACTACTACCTGCAATTTCTTCTGACTTTCAACATTGTATGGGGTGTGGAGGGGGATCAGTAATGCGTTTTTAAAAGGAAAGGGGCGCTTTTTTCAAACTTCAGTAGTAAAACACATACAATTCGTTAAATTAAATAAGTGTCCAGAGGACTTTTGTCCACGATTGTAGGTGAACCCTGCAGAACAGGCGGATTAGCGGAGCAGAGAACGAAACGCGATACAAGAGCGCGGGGCGCACGATTTCTTTCTTCTCGCGCTTCGCACTCGTGGTCGCGCTCCGCGCTCGTGTATCGCGTTTCGCTGTCTGCCCCGCCAATCCGCCTCTTCTGCAGCTAGCGAAGAGGATCTAGGACGATATGTGTGTACATACATGACGCAAGTACTTCAAGTGGGAATCTAGACCGCTGGTCAGCGAGAAGGAGGTCTCGCTGTTTGAGTGAGACACACGTGTGTGGAACCTTCCAAGTTTTCGGTGTCCTCAGTTGTAATGGGAAGAAAGAACAAATTTTCGAGTAAGTGGTCGACTGATGCAACACCAATAGGTCCTGGTAGGAAAGCAAGGAAGCAACCAGCACCGAAGTTACCAAAACAGTTGGGTAAATAGTACATTTTTCCGTCTTTAAAACGTACGAATCTTTGTCATCATGGTTCGGGTAGAATGGTACGGGTACCCAAAAATAAAACGGCTCTCTCGACGAAGAGTGAACGACTTTGCCCCTTTCTGTGCACGGGTAAATTTGGTACCCTTTCCTGAAAACCTGACCCAGCAGTACTGAGCATGGATAAAGTTGTTATAAGCTCAGTTTTTTGACGGGAGTTATGTCTGCTTCTGTCCTCCTATCCATGACAAATTCGCTAAAACATTGTCGCAGTAGCTGTAGGTCCGCAAGGCGAAGCTCAGTGAATCCACAGCTGGGCGCGTGAGGAGCAAAGCATGCGCATGTCTGTGACGTAAATTCACAAATTCATGCGGCGCTTCTGGTCGCTGGAAATGTCATCGGATGACAATCATGGACCCTACAACTCATTACATCTGTACAGTGTACATTTGCCGTTCTCTTTTAATTTTGGTCTTCCAACCTATTTTGTTTCACATTACTGCTGGGGACAGTGCTGTGGAAGGACATTATGTATTATGCTGTGTTCTAAGGAAGAGTTTGTCTTAGAGCAAAACTGTTCAACTGTGATGTAGCAACTGTCATGTCGAAGGTTGCACCCCAACTTTTGATCTTTAACGTCTCTTAAGTTCTCCTGCGTACAACATTCATAAATTCCACCTGGTCCGCCATTGATCTGATGAGATAACTTATGCCTCACTACGTGAAAAATCTGTGGGCGGTTATCTGATTGGCTTTTAGACTAACAAAAGGATCCTCAAGTGTCCAGCCATACCTTTGGAGGGGGAGTACGTAGCATATTTTTTCATTTTTAAGGCGCATCACTTTTTCAAAGAAAATATGCCTGTTCAATCGAAATCTGATCCAATCTCGGGGTGCATCTTATAACCAAGTATGTTCATACCACAAAATGCAATTTTGCCAATTTTCACTGATGATGAACCAGTTAAACATTGGCTAACATGCCATTTGCTATCATCCGCATCCTCTGCATAATCGGAGATTTTTTCCGCATAAAACAGAAAAATTGTTCCTTATTAGTGACAAAGCAGCTGCCTTCCAACCCCAGAAGCAAGAATTCTGAGGAGACTGATTATTTTGAATTAGTTTTTGACCTAAATCAGCAATGAAAACATGCTATTTTGTTCCGTGACGAATTTTTGACCTCCAGGTGTTCCATTAGCAAATTTGGAAAGCATAGTGTTGTTATCCAAGTGAATGGGATCAAAAAATTTCCTATAGTTCAGTTTGCGTCTTATAACTGAGTATTTAGGAGAAATTTTCAGTTTGTAAACTTGATACACTTACATGTATGTCTAAAAGTTAACAGTGTGTATTATAAGCGAGTGAGCCTTATAACTGAAGAAATATGGTATTCTTTTCCCAGACAGTGGCTGGTAATTTGGCCTAAACAGTATTGGAACACAATCATAAATTAAAACATTTGGAGCAATTAAATGCAATTGAACCTTTGACTGAGTATGATGGTCGAAGTGTGATTGATAAATGGCATCCANTTTTTTTTTTTTTTTTTTTTTTTTGTGTGGTCACAGGATACTTTTGACCTTTACCGTTTGTGGCTCGTTTTACAAACTTGGAGCCTGGACTCTAAATAAAGGGGGTAGTGCAGGGGGTGTGTCTGGGGCGGAGCCAGTGATCGACTGTTAGAGAGAATTAAGGACGTCATCAGCTAGTTACATTCTATAATCTTTTCAGAATTTTAAATATATTGAATGTGCAACTGAAAGTGTGACATCTTCTGTTGTTTGCTGAAAATCTGTTAAGTTTTGGATATTTGAGTGAGCTTCCAGCTTAATGGAGAAATTTTTTTTATTTTATTTCCTAAAGCTGTACATTGGTTTTCTTAAAGAAATAAAACACAGGCTAGGATTTTCTATTTAAAAAGATTGAAAAGAAAAATGTTTCTGCTAAAGGTTTTTTTTTATTCTGGACTGATTTGCCCTGGGTGTTTTATACTGCATCAAAGATCATTGCATTCTTTGTTTTTATAATGGTTCATTGTTTGACTGCTGTAGGAAGGACCGATTGGTTTCATTGGATTAGGGAACATGGGAGGTCCTATGGCTAAGAATCTGTTAGATGCAGGACATGAGATCATAGTATATGATGTATTTCCAGAAGCTCTAGTTGATTTTAAATCACTGGGTGCAGCAACAGCTGCCACGCCCAGTGAGGTGGCATCTAAGGCATCCACTATTGTCACCATGCTACCATCAAGGTATTTAACACTTTATTTGTTTGCAGGATCTTTTGTTCTGTGAGGAAAAGCTGATAAAGCTGAAATCTCTAATGTTCCTTTTCCTAAGTCATGAAAAGCCATGAAGACCGATGCAAAGATGTTTATCCCTGCACATGACACTTTGATTTATCTGGACTTTTTTATATTTGCTGTCATTTCCCTTTTTGCTCTTTTTTCACTCAAGATGCACCAATCAGGGATGAAACCCTGCAACCATTGTGCTTGTCTTGTAGTCTTCACACAAACGTTCTTACCATTAGGGAAATTGTAACAGAATTTTTTTCATTTATTTTTTTTAACACCTAGCCATTTACAGGATTCTGAATTAGATAAATCACTTCAAAAAATTTTAGAGATGAGTGCCTTGGTTCACCTAGCCTGTTAGTGTAAAGCTCTCTCACAGTTCAGCTCTGTCCACCATCCTGAGTAAGCTGAAAATAATGCATAATAGCTGGCAGTGGACATGCATCCCATAGAGTGAAACCTGTATTAAGCAGACCCCACATTAAGAGGACACCGGACCCTCTATCAAGTGAACACCAGCTTGAGTCCCTAAATTTTCTTCCCATATTTAGTGTAAAATAAACCTACATTTAGTAGACACCTCTGTTAAGTGGATGCAGACCACAAAACCTGCATTAAGTGGACACTTCAAGGGCATTTTACCTCTAAAAGTTCAGCTGAGACTCCTTTAACATTGTTCAGTGCTGTTGCTTTAAAGCTAAGTGATTATTCCAGATTGATGTATTGACTGACTGGACATTGTGCCATGAGCAGTGTTACAAAAGGGTTAATAATTAACTATTATTGCACAACATATTAGAAGCTGTTTTGAGCGGACACCCTATATTAAGCGGACACTAATGAGGGTCCCCAGGGTGTCCGCTTAATTCAGAATTCACTGTACGTAGGTGTAGTACTGGCAATATATATGGCAATATATGCTGCTCAGGCTAATTAAGTAGCCATAGCGCAGCGTTCCTGATCTTTCCCTTGAAACAAAGTTGCCTGCTTGAAGTTTATGTCTTCATGTTTTCTGATTTCAGCCCAAATGTGAGAGATGTATACTGTGGGGAAAATGGGATTCTTAGGTAAGTACAATAAAATTGTAAACTTACAAAACCTTATTTTTTGGTAGTAACTTTTATTTACATTTTTTGCAAGTTCCTGCAACCAGGCAATTATTTTCTTTCAGTAACGTCAAGCCTGGATCATTGTTGATTGACACCAGCACAATTGAACCTGCTGTTGCCCAGGAGATGGGGGAACTTACACAGACCAAGGGAGCAACATTTCTAGATGCACCAGTTTCTGGGGGTAGGTTTTGTTTCTCAAGCAATGACATGTGAATTTACTGTCATCTGAAAACCCTTTTGATGCACTGGTCAATGTCCAGTTACAGGAAAAATGGTGGTCTTGGGTAGGAAAATTAAGCACAATTTAATTCTTTTCTGTGCATACAAAAAGACTGTCTTTTTGACAACTCAAGTTTTGAAGTAAACAAGCCTAGAGTGTTATAAATTAAGTGCATTTCAGTTTTTGAAGTCTTAACCAAAGAAGACTGACTTCATGTGAATTAATTTCACTATTGTGAACCATGAGAACGTATGGGGTGTCATTCCCAGAGAATGTTCTGTACAAAAAGTTTTCTTTGAAAATTTACCAGCTAAGGAGAGCAGTTCAGCGCACCATTTTAGGCTGGTTTCCACTTGCAGATAAGCATTAGTATGAGTAACATATGCAGATGCAGTAGAATATTGCTAAGTAACACCTTTTGTTGCTTGTTAGGAAATTGCCAAACAACCAATTATCAACATCTTACCGTGTCTCTGTATGTTGGCTTATTCTTTTGTGCTAGAGAAAACCAGCCTTTTATGTTACCTTATCCCTAATTTCTGTGTGCTTAATGTAACTGCACATGCAAGCCAGAGTACAAAATAAACCTGAGTGTGCAGATAAGCATAAGAGGGAGGGACAGTGAGTCAATGTCCTCTTAGAGAGGAATGTGTTGATGAAAGGAGTCAGTTGTTTGGAATAATCTGCTCAGACTAGTACTGTGTGTCCATTTTTGTTTTGATCATGTCTTCTGTGCTTGTGCTTAATTTACCTCAGGAGTGACAGCAGCCAAAGGAGGAACCTTAACATTCATGGTTGGGGGCAAAGAAGAAGCTTACGAGAAGGCTGCTAAAATATTACAACACATGGGCAAGAATGTGATCCACACAGGAGCCACTGGGACAGGCCAAGTAATTTCCAATCAGAGTATTGTCACAGTGTTGCAAATCAACTTAGGAATCCTCACAATCACAAATTGTTTATTTATTATTATAAATATATTATTTATCGTTATTTTGCAGGCTGCTAAGATCTGTAACAATCTGTTGCTCGCTGTGAGCATGATAGGAGTCTCAGAAGCCACAAATCTTGGAATCCGCTTGGGACTGGAGCCAGAAATGATTGCCAGAGTAATAAACACAAGCAGCGGCCGCTGCTGGTCCAGTGACACATACAACCCTTGCCCGGGAGTTATAGAAGGTATTCCTTCCAGCAATAACTACCAAGGAGGGTTTGCATCACAGCTCATGGTCAAGGTGAGCTAAGAATTATGATTTCTAAGAAATTTGTACTGAGTTTGTATCTATTTGGTCAACACCAAAAAACATGGTGTTATCTTAGTATGGTATCACCTTTTCAGTAGTTAGTGTTGTTCTAGAAAACATTCATGCTCCCCCACTCCCCCCAACCGCCACTGCTAAGTCCAGTGGG